CACAGTGGTTAAGTGCTCAGTTGCTAACTGAAAGGTTGGCAGTTAGAATCCACTACCGCTCTGGGAGAGAAGATGTGGCAGTCTGCTTCCGTAAAGATTAAAGCCTTGGAAACCCTATGGAGCAGTTCTACTCTGTCCTACAGGGTCATGATGACTCAGAATTGACTTGAGGGAAACAAGTTTTTGGTTGTGTCCTCAATCAATCTCTTTTAAGATATGAAAGACATTAAACAAGCAAGCAAGAGAAGCAGAAATTGGGGGTGGGGTAGGGGAATAGATGACAAACCATATGGAGATCTCCAAGAAACCAAGAAAAAAGATGAAGAGACAAGGACCTTCCCCCTAAGCTGACAGAGAAAGTCTTGCCCTAGACCCAGTGCCCTGAATTCACATGCTAACCTACTAAAGTGTGAGAAAATAAATTTCTGTTTGTTCAAGCCATCCACTTGTGTCATTTCTGTTATAGCAGCACTGGATGACTAAGAAACCACCATAACTCAAGTCACTGAAATTCCACCAAAATTATCCCTTTCTGTGCTTGGAGGAAGGTGTGTATGGTGGGTAGGGTATACTATGGACACATATATACATTTATGCAGGATTTAAAGAAACTGACCTTTTTTTTTTTTTTCTTTCCCAGCCTATTCCCATGAGCATTTCAATTCTAGTTGAACTTCAATGAATTTTTCAATTCTAGTTGCCTGGTACTTGGGCACTTTAGGAGCTCTGGTGGCGTAGTGCTTAAGGCATTTGACTGCTAACCAGAAGGCTGGTGGTTTTCACCAGCCACTCCCTCAGAAGGAACACTGGGCAATTTACTTCCATAGAGATACCGCCTCAGAAACCCAAAGACATTGTCAGACAGAACTGACTCGATGGCAGTGAGTTTGTTTTTTTCGGTTTGGGGCCCTTTAGCTTTTATGACTAAATTCTCAAGATGTTTTAAAATCTTCATTAATGATCCATATAAATCATAATTTAAATGTATGTATATAGACCCAAGGAGCTCTGGTAGTGCAGTGCCTAAGGCACTTGACTGCTAACCAGAAGGCTGGCAGTTTAAACCCACCAGCCACTCCTCAGAAGGAAGGTTGGGCAATCTACCTTCGTAGTGATAGTGCCTCAGAAACCCAAGGAGGGGTCACTATGAGTCGGGCCCGACTCGACGGCCCATAACAACAACAAATATAGATCCATAGACACATATCAGAAAAAAAATTTTTTAAACCAAACTCATTGCCATTGAGTTAATTCTGACTCAAAGCAACATTTTAAGACAAAAGAATTGCTCCACAGTGTTTCCAACACTGTAAATCTTTACAGAAGCAAATTGTTTTATCTTTCCCTTGCAGAGTGACTGTATATAAGTATGTATATATATATGTATATATCATAAACAAATCTGTTCTCTCAGTCTCTGATACTGAATTTCTACTTAAAACAAACCATGAAAAACAAGTAACAACCCCAAGATTTACTCAGCCAGTGGTTCCCAACCCTAACCCTAGAGTTACCTGGAGAGTTTTACAAAAACGTACGGATGCCAAAGCCTAGCCCTGGATTCCTGGTTTAATAGAAGCCAATGCTGAGAACCACTGGTTAGAGGTAAATTCCAGAATTATCACTTACTGAATTTGCAAGACAGAGAAAACATTGTTTAAACAGTAAATTGGTATTTCTGGGTTTAGACTAGCCTCATCAGATGAACTGGGTACAGAAGAAAGGGCACCATAGCCTAAATGCAAAACCCTCAATAAAATGAAACTCCTGTAACCTGTTCTATAATCCCTCAAACTACCCTTAATCTGCAAAACAAGAATGTGTAGTCTTTCAAATCTTCACTCAAAAACGCTTCATCACTGAAATTTAGGTTTCTTTCCAATGAAAGAATATACAATACTGTTCTATTGTTCTTTGCAAAATCCTTCAATGCCTTAGTGCCAAATAACTGGTTACAATTCCTTTTTTCCCATTTCCTTACTATAGTCGGTAATAGTATGGAGCCTGACTCTAAGAAGTGTGAATTTTCCTTTCATTTGCATTTTTTTAAGTCCATTAAAAATATAAAGACTCCACCAGACATCAGTGCTCAACATAAAGGAGAAATTATTTCTAATTTTTTATGCCTATCAGCACTGTATTTTGGTGTGGTCAGGTGCCATCTCATAGCAATCCTATGTACAACAAAATGAAACAACGCTGAGTGCAGGGTAATTGATTTCTCTAATAAACTCATTCATTCATTCATAATTTTAGAAAACAATACTTATATGACTATATAGGAGCTCTGGTGGCGTAGTGCCTTAGGCATGTGACTGCTAACCAGAAGGTTGGCAGTTCAAACCCACCAGCCACTCCTCAGAAGGAAGGTTGGGCAATCTACTTCTGTAGTGATACTGCCTTGGAAACCCAAGGAG